GCCAAGAGGTGGCATGTGATGACATTCTGCCAAATGCTTCTTGGGCCAGGGACCAAAACCTACGTGTCAACCCATCCATGGTCGCCACAGATCTCGATGGCCTTGACGTGCTCTCCAGCTGAGATGTACATCTCCACGGCGGCTTTGGGCTCCTTGATATTCCTGGCCCAGTCAGCCTGTTTGGTGATTAGCATCTTTGTTTCTTTGGGGTCTCCAGATCCAAGGAAATCCTGAGGAAGCACAACAAACAAAAACACTCTGGATCAGGACTTCCTGCACCAGCATTACATCAGGCTCTTCTAGCAGCAAGGGCGGGCTCCACGTGGCTGAAGCAGGCAACCAGGAGGCAGGTGGGGCCGTCCCTGAGAGGCTGAGTTGGGGGTGTCCCAGGTCTCAAGAAGGGCCATCTTGGGCTGCCCTGCAGGTGTTCCTGGGGGATTCTGGGACAGCGTCAAGGACACTGGCCCCCCAGTGCCTCCTTCCCTTCTCACAAACGGGCGTTTGTTCTTCGGCTAAACAATACTTTCTGGACTGTTTGGGGCACTGCACATGAAGTCTTCAGGGTGGGGGGTTCACGGTCAGTCTATCTCTCTCTCACATATAGTTTGATAGATACATGACTATTCCTAAACAGCAACGAGAAAACCTGGTGCACAATTCCAAATATCGAGACCTATCATCTTTATTCAGATCATATGGATGGCACCACATGCTTCAGAGTGGGGCTGAGCATGGGTTCCCCTAAACTTACACAAATAAAATGACTCACAGAGTTTGCAGGCCCTCCGTGCCCTCCCTGAATCGCCAGCACACTAGGAATGCCATTCACAGCTGTTTCCTGAAACGTTCTGTGCCCTAAACTAGGGAATCATCACATTATCTTTGCCCCAGGTACTTGCGTGAAACAGATAACAAGCAAGCCTCTCTCTGGGTAATTGCTTCTCACCTGCATGGTAAGGGATCCTGTCCTGAGGTCAGGTCTGCAGGGGTGAGGGCCTGATCTGATAATGGGAGGGCAGGAGGCCATGGGGGGATTGAGGCGGGGAAGGGGCTCAGGAGAGGACCTGAGAAGGAAGAGAGGGCTGGGGTCCTGGAGGCTCAGGGGTCAGGCCCAGAGCCTGTACTCCTTCGGCCACAGCAGGGCCCTCTGAAGCGGTACGCTCAGCTTCTCTGGGCTGGGCCTAGAAAGCGTGAGAAACAACCTCAGATCATCACCTCTTTTCAGGGTAGTTACCCAAAATGCACACATGGGAGTTTGCCAGAGTTGAGGCAGCTTTTCAGGTGGAGCTTTTCAACAAGGAAAACTGGGAGCACTTACAGCCCAGGTCTGCATTACTGGGAAGAAGGGGTTTGTCTCAGGAATAATGTACCCCGCAGACAGTGCTTTGTGTCAGCCTTACCTAGAATTTAAAAAAGCACTCCTTTCCCCATGATTAACGCTCACATGTCAGGAAAGCACAGTCAACTTATGCTAAAAACCCACTTGAACAATTAGCTTGCTTTTTTCCCTCATTTGCTTTCAGGGTAATTGTGTAGCTCCTGAGATCATGTATTAGGTCAGCCTAATATATGACATGTTTGAAGAAGGGAAGGAAAGGGCATTGTATACCCTGATGCTGGGGACCCACTAGAAGACAGGCCCCCTGGCTGGGCTTTGGTTCTCCTGGAGCTGACAAAGAGAATGAGCTTGGAAAGCAGCCACTGACCACGCTTAGTTTGGGCCTTTACAGACACACCTCTCCTCTTGGCAGCTGCTACGACACAGATTCTCTATGCCAACACGAAGCTGGAAACCCTGCCTACTTGGCTGGTGAAATGACGGTGGCAGTTGGGGGAAACAAGTATCCTAGGAGATAAGAGATGTCCTCCAAAGGGACTTCAGTGAGTGCTGAGGGGACTAGGGGTGACTGTGTTAAGAAGGGTTAGAGGCTGAGAAGGAGCCATGAGCGTGGGTTGTCACCCCAAGGAGACCATCCAGGCACACAGCTCACAGCCTGGGGAAGCCTCCTGCAGTCCAGCAGGATGCTCGGGGAGCAGAGACTTCATTGAAGCTGGGTCTAAAAGCTTCCTTCAAGGCTCAGCAAAGTGGGAATTCAATGGCTTTTTGCTTCCCTGAAGCTAACTTACACGTTATCTGGGGCAATGGCAAAGACTTGGCCCTGAAGGAGACAGAAAGAGACTGTGCTGAGAGATGAATGAGACTAAACAGTGTTCTCATGCTTGGTGATTTTGATAAGAACATACTACATAAGAGTTAAGAGCATTATAATTCCCTTTATCACCATATAAACATGTCACTTATCTGGAAAGCATACAATTTATTTGTACGTGGGACTGTAATTTAAAAATTCTCTGAAAACCAGATTGTATCTTGGGAAGCAATTTTCAAGCAAACAAAAACATGCCATGTTAATCAGCACTGGATCTCCCCCACCCCCCACATAATGTGTACGTACACATTTCTCAAATTCAGATTGCACCACAGCTGCCTCTGTGAGGAGGCTTTAGGGGTCCGTTAGCCTAAATTCTACCCCCAGGGTTTTGATCACTTAAGGGTTCATCCTGAGTTAAAATTTTGTTATCCCCAGAAGCAGAGATGCACTGCCTCAGGTGATCTCAGTACGAATGTGTTATGAAATCTTCTACGTGTCTGTGGTGGGGTGTGGGAGAGTGCAGAAAAGGTGACGGAGAAACAGCAGAGGGTGCCTGAACTCCCTGGGTCTCAGGTACGAAGTGAAGAAATCACTAAGGTGAAAAGACAGGCTGGCGCCCAGGAGCTCGTCCAGCTGCCGATGAGCAATAAGTCCCGGGCAACATCACCTTCAGCCCCAGGATCAAACAGATAGTGGAAGAGCACAGCCGTCTTCAGGAATAGAAAAGCAGACAAAAGTGGGGAAGACTTTCCATCCTGAACTTGTGAGCTGGAGAATTACCATTAGTAGCCACTCATGGGTTGTGGCTAATGAGTCACCATCACATACTGAGAGCCACTTCTGAGACTCCCAGAAAAGGCAGGTTAACAAAGCCCCTCTGTGGAAGGAAGAAAATCATTGCTCAATGCACCCAAGCCTCTTTGAACCTTGCTTAGACTGAACTGCAAATGTCTTGACTGATCTGGGCTCCGTAGTACAACTCGTTCCCACAGAAGCCATCAGGAGCCCGGTCTGGAACGCTCCTCTCCCACACCTGCCTTCAAAGGCCCAGCTCTGCTGGGGACTAGGGTTCATGGGGGCTATCCCAACGCAAAAGGGAATCTCTGCCATCANAGGAATTCTTACAGCAAAGTGGAGGCCAAGGCGTGAGAATTCCTCAATGAGTGCCCTCTAAAGGAAGAAGGGAGTCAGGGGCTGCTCTGAGCTCTGGACAAAAGCCTGCAGGAAGTCCTCCCTGTCCTCTTGGCCAAGGTGCTGACCAAAGGAAGAAGGGAGTCAGGGGCTGCTCTGAGCTCTGGACAAAAGCCTGCAGGAAGTCTTCCCTGTCCTCTTGGCCAAGGTGCTGACCAAAGGGAGGAGCCACATGGACCCACTGGCTCACCACTGCTTCCCTGTGGCCAGCGGCCCTCCCATTGCTCATGGGGACATGAGGCCTGGATGGGTGTGCTTGCTCTTTGGTCAGGTTGGAATCTGGAGTCAAACCAATTCTCCCAAGAGAAAGGGTTCTACCCAGGCTAGTCTTGGTGAGAAAGGAAGGAGAAGCAGCTATAATGGATCCCTGTCTCAGAGGCAGGCAAGGCATGGAGGCCTGTCAATCTGCACTTAGAATAATAATGGCATCTAAAAATAACACTGTTCGGCAGAAAAAGGACACATTTTTAGGGAAAGGTGGCATAGACAGCCCTTGGAGCCTTAGAAACCTTCCCACCCATCACACCTAATGTCCCTGGAGGAAAGGCACTCTTTACAGCCACATCTGGGAAAGGAACAGAACACGCTTAATGTGTTTCTTGAATTACTCAAGTACCCTCAGGGTAACCTGATACATAGCACTTACAAATGAAAGTGACATTAAAAACCAGAAGAGAGAACAGGGGACCCTAAATCTGCCTGGCTCTCTTCTATAGAAACACCTTCATCTAAAAAATGTGGGGAACAAAATCTGTGCCTCTGTCTTAAAAAGCTATTGGACAAAAAAAAGATGGGGTGGTAGGTCATCCACCAAGGTCCCTTTGGGAGAGGCTCACATGCCAATTATTAATACATGGCAGTTCTCAAGGAAACAACTTAATCATTAACCAGCCTCCTCCGTGTCCCCAAGTCCCGGCCAGGCCACTGCTACCTGTAGACCACAATGTTGCTTCCAGAAGTACCAACATATTTTAGGACTAAGGCTGAGCCACCCTCAGAAGCTTGTTCCGTCATGTCTTTTGCATGCTGCGGCAGCATGTGCAAGCGTGTGTGCACATGAGTGAGTCCAAAGCTCACTGACTAGGACAAAGCCTTCCCCATGGAGGTCTAGTGCACTGAGTCCCAAGACTGAACCCATTCTGTCTCAGTGCTGCCCCACCCCAGACCCCTCCTCTCCCTGGTGTCCACTTTGGCGAATGGCATAACCCACCAGCAGCCAGAGTAAAGCCAGCCTGACACTCACCCCTGCCCTACCACCCTGGGATGGGTCCCTTGGTTCTAACTCTGCTACTTCTCTCTCATGCCCCCAGCTACCAAGTTCCCTCCTGCCCTACTGTACTAGCCAGTTATCTAGTCTCCATTCTATCTGCCTACCTGAAGGGGTATCTGACTATAGGTGGTCAGTTGCTATTGACAAATCTAAGCATGTCGGTTTGGTATCAGACGCCCTTCCAGTGTGGCCAGTGCACTTTCCCCAATCCACAGCCCACATCCTTCACCCTCTTGTTCCCACGCATCTTTTATTCCAACCAGTGCTGACTTACTCTATTCCTGCTGTACTTCCTGCCTGCATATCCTTCCCCCATCTCTATTTACCTTTTGGAATTCTTTAACATCGCTTCATGGCAAAGAGTGTCTCCTAAGAGAAGACATCCATGGTTCCTCCCATGAGAATTCTTCCCTGATGGATTTGGAAATTGTTTTTGTTCCTACCATTATACACGTAGTTAGCATCAACATTGCTCAGATCAGGAGCTAAAGCTCAACTCTACAACTTTCTAGCTACCTGGCTTTGGGAATAACTTGTCCCTTCAGCTTCTGTAACATCATCTGCAAGGTGGGCGGGGAGACACGAGCCCTGATGGCATGGGTGGAAAACCTA